AATAAATTTTATTGCATTATTGAATCAAAAGAGGTTGGTATGTGCTTAAGAAATCCATCTCATATGGAATTTCACTTACTAAATCCTCGCCTTTAGTTGATTATAGGAGCGAAGTAACTCTGCTATTCATGATCATTGAAAATCCTAATTGTATGTAGTGTTTGCATATAATTTTTGCTCCCATTTATTTATTTATTTATTTTCAGTATTACAAAAATAACAAAAAAAAAATTATAATCATCAACTGAAAAAATAGAAAAAAAGAGAGCAATTAGAATGTCTAGTTTAGATTAATTCAAAGACGGGAGTTAATTGAGAAAAATAACGGGTTGGAAACAATTCAAAAGACAATAAAAGGCATGATTGAACAAAAATCAAACACTCAAAACACCTCCAAAAATAGCCCAAAAAATACACCCCTTAAAACAAGTCATCAAACACCTCCCCAACAAGCCCAAAACTAGCCCTCAAATAGCTACAAACAAGCCCTAAAACACCTAAAAATAGCCCCAAAACCAACTCAAAAACAGACCCAACACTTACCAAAAGCTCCCAAAATCGACCATGAAAATGTTATCAATAGCCCCCCAAAACCCTTACAGAGCAACCCCTTTGGACAACCCATTTGAACCACCAAAGCATCCTCAAAAACACCCCCAAACCAGCTTCAAAACCACCCAAAAAAACCTCAAAAAATAGGCCTAAAACCAACCGCAAAATAGACCCAACACCTACCCAAAGCCTTCAAACTCAGCCACGAAACCGTTATCAACAACCCTCCAAAACCCTTACAGAGCAACTCCTTTGGACAAGTCATTTGAACCACCAAAGCAATTCCAAAATCACCCCCATACCAGATTCAAAACCACCCAAAAAAACCCACCAAAACAGACACAAAACATCCTTTAAAATAGCCCTCGAACACTTTTTGGAGTTACCGCAAAAAAAGAAATAAAAATTATTATTAAAAAACAAAAAAGGCTAAACATATTTTCGTGTCTTGGATTGTTGGCATCCACAACATGATGTTGTAGGTTGCATTTGATTGAGTCTTTTTGACAAGAAAATAAGCCTACCTTGGGCTTTCGGGAACTCGCAAATTTTACGATAAATTTGGAGTGTTCACTCGAGTAACGGGTTATGCCTATCTCGTCCAAATATACAATTTATCTCATTTTTTGTGATTTAATTGAATTTCCATGATTGTTCGCAATGCTACAATATATTCTCTCTTTTTTTAATTGCTAAATAATAATTTTTTAATCCAAAAAAAAAAGCTGAGAAAATGATGGGTAAAAACAACTAACTTATTATATGCATAGATGCTAATACATGTTATACATATTTAAATTAATTTTATGTTGATAATTAATCTAAATTGGCTATTGAATTAATTAATTAATAAATAGTTATTGATTATTCTATGGAGACGATTCATTATCTATCTTATCATTTTAGATAGATGCTACATACTAGATTTTTATTTTATAATCATTTGTGCTATTTTCATGAAAAAAAATATTCATACAAATTTATTATAAGTATTTAAATATAGAAATATAATCATATGGGTATTATAGTAAATATATAATAATATATTTTCTTTCCTTCCTCTTTTTACAAGTATCCAAATAAGAAAAATATATTTTCTTTCATTTCATTTCTACTCTTATCCAAACAACAAGTAAAAAATAATTTTCTTTCCTCTCTTTTCTTTTCTCCCAAGAGAAAATATCCAAACAAGGGGTTAGAGAATATTCTTTCTACTACGTTTATGTCACTTGTATGCAAACTTCCTTTCCAATAAATTATTATAATGTATAACTTTAGTTTTGATCTTATGAACATGTTACCAAAATTCAATATTTGCAAGCGGAAACGCATTAAGAGAGAAATTAACACAGTTAACTTTATCATTTTATTTAAACGAAATGAAAGTTGACGTGATAAGTTTCATACTAAAATCTATATTGTATATTTTTTCATTAAGTGAAAGTAAAATCAAAATTTTTAAAACCGAACTAGATAAATCGGTTGAACCAAGAACCTCTCACCTTGCCGGTTTGGTTTACATAGAAACCCACTCTAAATGAAACCCGGAGGAGTTCAACTCACACGGTCAGTTAAACCTCAAACCAATCAACCCAAACCATCTTTCGCCGGTTCAACTTAAGTTTTTCTCTAACATGGCTCAGCCTTCCACACCATGAAAACTCTCGCTGGGCCTTGCAATCGCCATTCACCTGCAGATACCAGCAAATGACGCCATTTGATTCTTTGTATTCGACTAGACCTCAAAAAACATGTTTCAAATTTTTTTAAAATTATTTTTTACTAAAATACAAATAAACTCATCATATCAGACAAACTTGTTTCACCCTCCATGAAACAAGCTAGAATTGTATTTAACACAACTTTACGTAAATTTTTTTTTTACCAAATTAAAATAAATAAATTTTGAAAAAAAAAACTGAAAAAAATTAAAGATATATTTTGTCATTCTCTCTAAAAAAAATAAAACTAAAAAAAAATTGAAGTTAAAAATATTTTTTTATTCAAAATATTTTTTATGTGTTTAAATCTATTTGAATGATAGTAAGTAAATTTTAAATATAAAATAAAATATTTATAGTATTTTTAAAAAATATATATATATAAAGAGTGTTTTAGTCAAAATTTTAAACTTTTGAAAGGGTATTTATAATTTTAAAAACCTCAAAAGAGTATATTATAATTTATTTATTTTGATTTTACAAATTTCTTAATTTGACTCAAAAGTGAAAATATAAATTTTGTTATAAATTTTAATCAAATTAAAATATTCGGTAGAGCTAGTTCCAACACTAACAAAAATTTATATTCTCACTTTTGAGTCAAATTAAGAAATTTGAAAAATCAAAATGAGTAAATTGTTACAAAATTATAAATATTATTAAAAAAAAATTAGATATTTAACTAAAATATCTTCACATTAAAAAAATATAAATATTTATTTTATATTCAAAATTTGTTTATTAAGATAGAGACATATTTAAAACTATAAAGGATATTTTGAAAAAAAAATTATCTTCATTTTTTTTTCAATTTTTAGAAAGAATGACAAGATATATCTTCAACTTTTTTTCATTTTTTTTATTTTATAAATTTTTTTTTATTTAAATTCAGTTAAAAAAAAAACTTAAGAAGGAAAGATAGAATAGAATGAAAAGATTAAAAAAAAAAAGTTAATGTGTGTCACAATTAGGTAGGGCTAACAGTGCAATTTAACACTACTAGTCCAAAAAATTAATAAAGGAAAGAGTTTAAGATAAAAAATATATAGAGACAGATGAAATTAAGATTAAAAAAATAGAATGACACAATAATAATAATAAAAGAAAGTAAACCAACTCCTAGAACCATTAACCAATCTATAATAATAAAAGAAAGTAAACCAACTCCTACAACCATTAACCAATCATGTTTTTGGTTGCTTGGAGCCTTATTTGTGCAAATTTGGTACAAGCTACTTTCACCGTTTTAAAAGTCTAACATGTATAGTTCTGTTTTGAGATAATTACACTAAATACACTAGCTTTCAATTATTTCTCATTTGAATATATGAATTTTAATTTTTTTTTGTTAAAATTGCTTAAAAAATTAATATACTTAAATAAAAAAAAATTATGTGCTTGATTAAGAAAAAAATAAAATAATAATTTGATATTTTAAAAATAACGGACATGTCATCACTTAAAAAAATTAATGAAAATATTTAATTGACAAATTTTAAAAAATTGATATATTAAAATAAAAAATAAAATTTATACACTTGATTAAAAAACAAATAAAAATTAATGTACTTATAGTACAATTATCCTGTTTCCTTTTCAACACCAAAAAGAAAAAGGAAAAATAAAAATAAAATAAACCACGGCCATTTTCTTTCATGTAATTGGGCCCATCATAAAACTCCAAAATAAAGCGCGTAAATTAAAACTTGGTCCCTTTAGTTTAAGAAAACTAATAAATTAGTCCTATAGGTTTCCAAACTATGTTTTAAATCCTCATGGTCTTAAATTTGCTTATATCTAAGCCCCTTTTTCAAATTTTTATTTTCTTGATTTTAAAAAAAAAATAGAAAACAAATTGATAAATGAAGATGGAAATTTTTTATGAAGAAAGAAATAATTTTTGAAATGAAAAACTTAGAAATTAAGTATGGTTATCACTATCAATAGATTATCTCAAAAAAAAAAAAATTATTATTAAAAAAAAAAAAAAACCTTTCTAACTTTAAGTGCACTACACTACACACCACACTCACCAAAATATTTAGTCTAAATGTAAAATTGTATATCTTTTGTAATTCATATTTTAATTTTATATTTTTTTACTGTAATTTTTTAATGTGATGAATCAAATACTATATCCCATTCTTAGTGTTAAAATTGATGATTTAATCAAATATATTGTTGATTTGTTAGTTGATTATATCATTGTAACAATACAAAAGTTTTAAAGTGTTTTTTTTTTTTTGGACATTGTGTTTTTTAGTTTTAAACTTTTAATCTTTTCTGGTCTTCCAAATTTATTTTTTTCTTTTCTAATTTTCATATATTTTCTTCTTTTTTTTCAATGTAAATCATATTAAAAAAATGATAAGTTTTAATTTTTTTTAATCTTATATTTTTAAATATAAATATTGCATGTGGTATCATTTGAATCTTTTAATTTGAATTAAAAGATTTGATTTTGTCAAATTATTCTAAAAAAGGTTATATTTCATCAAATTTTAAAGTTTAGGGATTGAAAAATCTTTTTTCCATTAATTTAGATAAAGTGAATGGGAACCATTGATTCATGATTATCGTCAAGATGAGAAAGTGAAAGAGAGTTAAATTGAAATTAACCCAAAGATTTTCTTTGATGTACATTTATGAGAACTTTTCCTCTTTTAAGTCCACAACACCCCACCCTACTAACTTCCGAGGACAAATCTAGCAAGACAGCAGTTCAAGATGCAAGAGACCGGTGAACTTTGGGACAGCCCAAGCATCACCTCTTACATCAACAATGTCTCCCAAATCCAACCATCTATCCCCTTTAGCCGTTTACCTCCCGTCTTCGTTGACACCACCCCATGTCGAAGCCGCGCTGCCATAGCTTTCGACTCCATTCGCCTCAACGGGCCTCACGTTCTTCAATCACTCAAAGAAATCTCAAAAACTGGTAAAACTAGCGCTTTCATTATTGATCTTTTCTGCAGTTCTGCCTTTTCCTTGGCTAAAGACCTCAAGATCCTAACTTACTACTTTTTTCACTTCGGGTGCTGCCTGCCTTGGTGTTTTCTTGTATTTTCCAAGAATACATGAACAGCACAGCAAGAGCTTCAAAGACCTCAAAGATACTATTCTTCATTTCCCTGGTATGCCACCATTGAAAGCTATTCACATCCCAGAACCAATGCTTGATATAGATGATCCTGCTTATCATGACGTGGTCTATTTCTGTTCATGTCCTTCTAAAGCCGATAGGATCATAGTTAACACATCTGATGATCTAGAGCCGAAAGCAATTGATACTCTTGCAAGTGGCATATGCGTTCCTGATGCATCAACCCCAGCTACTTACAACATCGGCCCTGGGGGTGATAACCAAGTTCAACATCAGTGCCTTTCATGGCTTGATAAGCAACCAAGAGGCAGCGTGGTGTTTATGTGCTCTGGAAGCAGCGGATGGAGCAAGTTCAAGAAATGCCTAATGGGTTAGAGAGAAGTGGTCAAAGGTTCTTGTGGGTGCTCAAGAATCCATTCGATGCTGGAAAAACGAATCAAACCGATGATGTCATTGATGATTTTGCTTTGGATGCAATTTTGCCTGACGGGTTCTTGAAGAGAATTCAAGATAAGGCTTTGGTGGTCAAATCATGGGCACCACAAGTCGCAGTGCTGAACCACGGCTCAGTTGGTGGGTTTGTGACGCATTGTGGTTGGAACTCGGTGCTAGAAGCGGTGGTTGCAGGGGTGCCAATGGTGGCTTGGCCACTATATGCAGAACAACATCTAAATAGGAATTTATTGGTGGAAGATATGAAGATGGCTATTCCAGTGGAGAAAAGAGATGAGGATGGATTTGTGAGTGACAGTGAATTGGAGAAACGAGTTAGAGAATTGATGGAATCAAATAAAGGAAGAGAAATGAGAGAAAGAAGCTGGAAAATAAGAGGGGGCTTATTGATGCGTGGGGAGAGTCTGGTTCTTCTATCAAAGCCCTTGCTAAGCTGGTTGAGGCATGGAAGCAAAGTTAAGAACCGAGACTTCTTGGTGAAAATCAAGTCCTTTTCTCGCTTATGATCATGAACCAATTTTTTTCTTTAATTAAATTAGTAAGCATTGAACTGTCTTCCAAAGTTCTGAGATCAAAATTATGGAACGTAATTCAAGTTGTTCCGCTTTTCCAAATTAAAGAACAAAATAATTGACAAGGTTGTTCTGCATATACGAGGAATTCAGTATGAGAATCTCATGTCCTTAATCCACACCTGCAAGTCCTCCTGTTAATGTCTCTAACTCTACTTTCATGAAGTACTCGACTTAAATTTTCACTGACCAAAGATGCAAGGCAGCAATCCATGATGCAAAACACAGCTAGTTCTGTTTGCTCTAGGCATGGGCCACTCAATCTCGATAGTATAGCTAGGCAAAAGCTTAGTCTCTTACATAAAAATATCTCCCAAACCCACCCTTCAGTCTCCTTTACCATTTTCCTATTGTCTCATGGACGCCAACCCAACCGCAGTCCTCACCATAGCCTTTCGAGTGCCTTCACTTCTATGCACCTCACGCTCTTCAATCCCTCAAAACAAATCTTGAAAACTAGAAAAGCACTTCTTTTTTTTGGCCTAATTTTCGGCACTTCTGCACCTTTTCTTGGCTTAACACCTCAGTGCACTTTTTCTTGGCTAAACACCTCAAAATTCCCACTTGCTACCTTTTCACTTCTGGTGCTGCTTGTCTTCCTGCTTTCTTGTATTTATCCAGAGCATATTAACCACAAACCACTAACGTCAAACTCTCCTTTATTTCACCGTTGTTAGAACACTGAGCAGATAGTTATAAATAATAATTTGTGTGTAACTGTAGTATATGATGGTCTTTACATAACTAGAGTAAAACTTGAACTTAATGATGAGATATGCTAGAAGAAGTTACCCTAAATTAAAAGCCATACTTTTATGTCCTTTGCAACCAGCATGCCACCCTTGCCAGCTATTTACATGACAATTGCCGAAGCCAGCACTTTAAGAGAGACAATCCTGAATGTGATCATTTACTACTTTGTGTTTGTATTATTTGATCCATCCGTAAGATCTAGCACGTCTACAAAAGCTGATATATGGAATCATAGTTACAGATGGCTTATCGTTCCTGGTGCACCCACACCAGCTATTTCGCATTTACCATACCTGTCCTGTGCAGTGATCAAGTTCAACATTATAAGACTTTCTTGGCTCGATAAGCAACCAACAAAGAGCGGTGTTTTCACATTTTGGCAGCCGTGAACCCTTCTCCACAGGACAAGTTACAGCAGTGATGCAGAAAATATTAAAATTTTGATTCATTTGAGAAGGTGTATTCATTTTGTTACAAAAAGGTATAACAAGCAAGCCAATTTGATTTTTTTTTCCATTACTTCTATATTTCCTCTACTCTTCTCTTCCAACCAAACAAAAAAGGTTGGTCCCTCCTCTACTCTTCTCTTCTAACCAAACAAAAAAGTTTGGTTTATTTTGTTAAAGTATTAAGTTCCCTAACTAGATATTGTTACAATTATCACTTTATTAGCATAAAAAGTCTTATCATTCCTATCTTTATATCAGCTAGTTATATCAAGTAGTTATAAAAACCCTTGTGTCAGCTATATCAAGCAACTATAAAAATCATGTAACACATTCATGAAGCTGAGAAAATTTTCACAATTTCACTATCTTTTATTCTTACATGGTAACACATTCATATCAAGAACCACATAAAACTTTCATAATTTCACAATCATAATATCGAAGTCTCAAAAAAGGTCTAATGCCTTTGTAAAAATCTTATAATCTAAGTTACTTAATAAATCTCAAAAGATAATAGATTCTTAAGCTCAAATTACTCGATAGATAGACTCTAAAAATCTAATCTTGAAGTCTCAATCACTTGACGCAACTCAAAAAAGATCTTAGAACTCAAATCACTTATAACTCCAAAAGACTACAAATAAAAGAGAGTTAAAAAAACATATTTCACATTTATTTAATAAATGAGTAACATATAAATTTTTTTTTTTTAAAAAAAAAGACCACCCATCGAAGCCAATTTTAATTATCTAATAATGGAACTCAACTGTCTAAATTAATAATGGGCCTCAAAAGTTATTTTTACTTTGTTATTTTACTTTGTTATGTTGATTATTTAATTATTGTAGGTTTTGTTCCAAATTTGCCATAACATGGGCCGTCAACACTAATTTTTTTGGCATCACACCAATATATCCAGGACCTTCTTCAATGCGCCAGGATGGATCAAGCAAAGGCATGTATGTCCCCTAGGGCTGTTTTACCAACTGTCTCTAAGTCACTCTCTAATGGAGATCAATATAGATAGTTTGTGGAGCCAATACAATACTTGACAATGACAAGACAAAATATTACTCTTTCTATCAACAGACTATACCAAATTATGCATAGTCCAATCGACAAAAATTGAAAAGGGATCAAACGATTGCCACGGTACTTGAACGTAAAAAATTCAACGTTGCAATTTCATTATTTTAGAGACAACGATTGGAACGGCTGTCTGAATGATTGCCATTCAACTAATGGATATGGACTTTATTTGGACAATTTGTTGATATCTTGGGTTGATATCTTCGATGACGAAAAAACAACCTAACATTACACGCTCTTTAACTAAGAGTGAATACAAAGCCATTGCTAACTCCACAGCTAAATTACTATGAATAACTTCATTGTTGTAGGAACTTGATTTTTCATGTCCTAATAGGATTGTTCTTTGATGTGATAATGTTGGTGTCATCTACCTTACATCCAACCTGTTTACGTTCTTGTACAAAGCATAAGCTTGACTATCAATATGCTTGACTATCATTTTGTAAGAGAACCAAGAGAACCAACCCATAGCTATCGTTATTTTACCTTTATATATACCCTCTTTTTCTTCTTCTCCATTTGCTTCCCTCACCTCCACCGCACCTCCTCTTTCGTCGCCTCCCACAAAAACGTCCACCCACGCCGCCCCACCCCACTAAATTTTTTTCAAAAACATTCAACAAAGTGAGGGGTATCTTTCTTTCTCAAAATTAGATCGGATCTCGCTTTCTCTATCGTTGATATATCGAGTAAAACTTTCTCTCTCTAACTCTTATGTTTTTCTTAATTAGGTAATTGTTATAAATTTTTAGTTAAATTTTTTTATTTGTTAGTTTATTAATTGTTTGAATGTTGTTAATTATCTTGTTATGTTAAATCTTTTGTTATGTTAAGTTGTGTGTAGTAGTTTAAATTTGTTAGTTTTTATTTTATTTTTATAACTCGTTAGATTAATTTTGCTAATTTTTATCTTGTTGTTATATTAATTGTTAGGTTAATTTGTATGTTAACGTAAACCTTAAAAATTTTAATTTTGTTAATTTTTAGTTGTTAGATTAAAATTTAATTATTTAAACTTAAATTGTTATTTTAAGTAAGCGAATTAATTATATATATACATTTTTTTAGTATTAGGTTAATTTGATTAGTTGTTTGTTTAAACTTAATTTTGAAATTATATAATTTTTTATGTAGTTTAGTTAAATTTAGTTGAAATTATATAATTTTTGACATAGTGGAGTCATTTCAAATGTAAACTTTATAAGTAATTTTATTAGTTTAATTATTAAAATTGAAATAAGATAACATCCATAATGATTTGATCGTTCCTTCCACTCGGCTTCCAGTTCGACTCTCCAGTCGAGCCCTCCACCTAGTATGAGGATGAGGATATGTGATTAGACGAGCAAGATGAGTGATATAATATTCAATCACTTCGTTTGTTTTGTTTTTTTAGGAAACATATTCTAGAATGATTTTGTTAATATTATTTTATTTTTCATATATACGTGATTACTTATATTGGTTTATTATTAAATATTAATAATTAAATGTGATATTAATAATTTAATTTTGAAAAATGTCAACAAAAGAATTATGGAAAAATTATTTTTAAAATTAGTGACTGAATAGCGATGGATTGGTGACAATTTTGTTTTTCAAAATTAACGACGGATTAGCGACGGATTTATTTTCAAAATTAGTGATGGATAGTGACGGATTAGCTAAAAAAAAAGAGCAATCTTACGACAAGATTAGCAACGGATTTTTTTGGTTTAGCGACGGATTGTCCGTCACTAAATGTAACGACAGTACCGAGTAATCTGTCACAAAAATTTAACGACCAAGCAAAATAGCGATGGAATATGGTCCGTCGCTATTCCATCACTATTCACAATTAGTGATGGAATTGGAGCATTTAGCGATGGAATATTTCATCGTTAAACTCAATTGGTTTTGTAGTTAACTATAAAAACACCGTAACACATTCATATCAAGAAGCAAAAAACTCGGTCTTTTATTCTTAACATATCTATGATCCTCTTGGTTAAATACTAACCAAACAGATTCCTTCCCCCTTCTCCCCATCAATTTCCTCTCTCTTAATTTCTCATCATTCAAATTATAGTATAAAGTGCATAAAACATCGGACATAAATTTCCAAGTTAAGATTTCAAAACATATGGAGATATGATGGGCAATACCATCATCTAGATTATGACCACAATATAACATAACAAGTGAGATTTTGAGTGCAACCAAAAGGATAAAGGTCATTCGACCAAGACATGGGTATAAGTTCTTGTGCTTATAGAGGAGTTAATACTACGGACTTTATTTAGGATTATAGGAGAAAGAAAAGTGGTTAATAACCCTTAAATCAGTCTCATTTGTATAAACAAAGGTTTTCTCAAGGACATAAATGACAATTTAACACTTCCAAAATATTAAGAATTTCACAAGGTAGAAATAGTAGGGCATAATAATAGTAGTTACGCTTTTTTGTAAAATAAAAGATTCATCAAAAAATGATGGTTCATAAGTAGGGAACTTTTCAACCGAAATTTGCTTTGTTGCCATGAGAAAATAAAACAAATGCTACTACTATGTTACTGGTCCAAACCCACCACTACATGCCCTCAAAGACCAAGTCTCCAAGCAGTAGTATTTGTTTCTTATAAAATATCCATTTCCAGTTGTTATTTCCCTTCGAATAGTTCTTTTTACTTCAATATTAGTTTCCTTAAGAATAGTTCTCTCCGAGTTATTATTTCGTTCGAAAGAGGTCGGTCAAATAGTTGATAAATTATTAGGATTTGATCTTCCTAGTTCTTTACTAATTATCTTTGAAAGTTGCTTTGTATAGAAAAGCTTTTGAATTCAATAAAAGGGATATATGTAAAACTTTTTAGCCAAAGTATTTCTTTGTTTCTATATATTGCTCCCTTTGTCATTACAGACTCTCTCAAGCTAGCTAGTGGCAAGAATAGAATGCATGGTCATGGCATAGACCTTAGAAAGATCCACGTACATTATAATTTGGTATAAGAGCTCTAGCATGGCCGACGAACCAAACGACCAACATCTCGTATAACTTGAACACTAAATCGAGAGTCTTACCGGAAAAATGATAGAGTTGTTTCAAATAATTTAGACTATGGAGGAGGTCTCCGTAAGTCATTCCGGTCCAAGTACAATGAACCATCGACGAGAATGGGTTTAATGGGAATTTTACCCTCAAATTAGTGAGACTAGACTTTCCTCGATATGATGGAGCGAGAAGATTCCACACTCGCATTCGTTGGGTTGAGCAATTTTTTGATTTTCAAAACACTATCATAGAGGAACAGTACGTTTGTCAACTTAACATCTAGAAGAAGATGCTTAGCTATGGCCCAATACCAATGGAATTTGCATCCCGAACTTACTTGGCGCGACTTAAAGGAAGGGTTGGTTAAACAATTTGGTATGTTTAGTTATGAAAATTCTTTTATTGACTCGTGTAAACTTAAGCAAATAGGAATGATTCAAGCATACCAATCGGTGTTTAATAGACTACTAGTTAGAGTAGGGAATTTGTCAAATGATCAAGAGGTGAGGGCTTTTGTTAGCGAGCTTGGAAGATCAATTAGCGGTGGATATGCAGGCTCAAAAATCACCCACTCTCAATGAAACTATTGAGCTAGTTCGAATATTTGAAAGTAGAACACTCGGGGCCTAAGACCTACGACTCGGATCCTTTATAGGCCAAAAGCCTTTTAAGCCCAAGATCGGTGAGCCATTAAAAGGAGATTCCCGTATGGAATCGTCCCGGACATCCAATTAATCAACAAAGCCATTCTCGCTCTAATTCATAGTTTCACCCTCATGAAACTTCAACAATGACGATGACAAGTGGTCGTGTTTCCATTATGATGATCGGTGCGGTGGCCGACCATGCTTGCAAAAAGCTTTTATTTATTGAGCTAGAGCCCGAAATCGAGGTTGATTCCAAGCTTCTCTTTACCGATTCTATTACTTCTAAAGTCAAGCCTTTAGAGATATCACTCCATGCACTCATCGATGTTCTCACTCCTCAAACTATAAGGGTGCATGTCGAGTAGGTGGTAGGGTCATCACATTCCTTATTGACTCCGATCTAACCCATAATTTCTTGCATAATAGAATTACAAAGGTTGTAAATCTACCAACTAAGCCAAGGCCACTCATGAAAGTGATGATAACCAATAAGGATAAGCTTGATAGTAAGGATTTCGCAAACGAGTACCTATGGTTTTTGTTAATTCTCCCTTCCATATTAATTTTTTGCTCTTACCTTTGAAAGGTTGTGATGTTGTGCTTGGAGCACAATGGTTCCAAACTTTAGGCCTTATTCTTTGGAATTTTAGAAACATGAAGATGAAGTTTAAAGCGAGTACCACGTTGATTTTGTTATAGGGACTCAAAGCTATTGAGGCTAAATTAGTTTGGGAAAAGGACTAAGAACCTTTGGAATTTTAAAAACATGGAGATAAAGTTTAAGGCGAGTACCGGGTTGATTATGCTAAAGGGACTCGAAGGCTATCGAGGCTAAATTAGTTTGGGAAAAGGACTAAGCAAGGCTTTACGGAAGACTCGAGAGAGGTGCTCTATTACATATATCATTAATCTATAATCAACGAGCCATAGAGTGAGAAGATTGGTAAAATATCCAATAAGAATTTCTTAAGCTTTTTCGCAAGTATAGACGATTTACCTTCAAGTAGAGACCATGACCATGAAATTCTAGTAAACGAAGGTAGTAGACTAGTAATTGTCGGACTCTTCAAGTATCCCTACTTCCGAAGAGAGAAATAGAAAAATTAGTGGCTAAGATACTCACTCAAGACTTGATTTGACCCAATAAGAGTCCATTTTTCTCTCTAGTGTTATTGTCAAGAAGAGTGATAACTATTGGTGATTTTTAAAATATATGACTCAATAAAATCATAATTAAAGACAAATTCCTCATACACTCGATTGAAGAATTATTAGATAAGTTGAGGGGAGCAAAGTGGTTCACCAACTGGACTTTCAATCGTGGTACCATCAAATATGAATGCACCTACGGATGTTACAAAGATCGTTTTCTACACTCATTATGGCTATACGAGTTTTTGATAATGCCTTTCGGCCTTTTGAATGCTCCTTCTACCTTACCGGCTCTTATGAATGATATATTTTAGCAACATTTAAAAAAATTTATCTTATTTTTTTTAATGATATTTTGATTTACAGACAAACGTACGGAGGAACACTTGAATCATGTAAGACTAGTTTTTCCATTATACGAGATAACGACTTATTGTAAAAAAGGAAAAATGTCGGCTTGCTCAACAATAAGTTCATACCAAGGGCACATCATCGATGAGCGAGGTGCCATGGCTAATCTAGACAAAATTAAGGCCATGACTAGTTAGCCTCAACCACGAGCAATTAAGGAGTTGCAGGGGTTTTGGGTTTGATAGGTTACTATATGCGATTCATAGCGGGATATGGGGTGATAGCTCAACCATTGACCAACTTGCTTAAGAAAAATGCTTTTTCTTAGAGCAACGAAGCTCGATAAAGCATTTCAATAACTCAAAATAACTATGATCAAGCATCGATCCTAGCACTATCGAATTTTTCACTTCTATTTGTGGTAAAATATGATGCCTCCGGGGTAGGAATTTGGGCTATCTTGATGCAAAATCAGCAATTGCTTACTTTAGCAACGAGTTTCTAAGGTAAGAATCGTCACACTCAAATATGAAAAAAAAAAGCCGATGGCTTTGGTTCGACGAGTACATAAATGGCGACCTTACTTGATCAAGGCATAGTTCATTGTAAGAACCGACTAATCAAGCATTAAGTATTTGTTAGATCAAAGTATTACCATCGAAGCTCAATAACGATGGTTGGTCAAATTGATGGGATATAACTTCGACATCGAGTATAAACGAGGGCAAACCAATGTAGTTGTAGATGCCATTTCCAAAGAAGGATAGATTGAATTTCATGCTCTATCAACACTTGTACTATAATGTCTTAATGCCATGCTTTAAGAAAATGACGAGTTATCCGTAACTTTAGCGATTACACCTAATAAAAATAAGAGAATATATTTTCTATTTCTCTTTTTCTTCATTAGTTTAGGTCCGTCATATATACAAGTTTAGGAAGTTAACTAGTTGTATAACATCAATGCTATACTAACTCGTTATAGCCGTTATAACATCCATTATACTCTAACCGTTATAGCTATTACAACGAGTTACAACACCTTAACATCCCCCTTAAATTAATGTTAGGTAAATAAAAGCATTAATTTGCCGGTTAAAAAATCATGTCTATTTTTCATCATTGTTTTTGTAAATATATCGACTAATTGGTTTTGGGACTTAATATGGGGCTAGGTAATGAGTCCTTTATGGAGAAGTTCTCTTATGTAATAATAGTCGACTTCAATATGTTTAGTATGCTCGTGGAAAACTAGATTGTTTACAATTTGAATAGCGTTCGTGTTATCAACATGAAGCCGAATAGGTTCTTGTAACTTCACACCAAGCTCAATAAGTAATCCATAAAGCCAAACAATTTCCGAACATGCTTGCGAAATAAAGCGATACTACGCACTTGTAGATGAATTAGAAACATAATCTCGTTTCTTACATTTCTATGATACTAGTGAATTACAAAAGAACATGCACCAACCCGTTGTGGAAGATGAGAAGTCGGGCATCATGCCCAATCCGCATCCGCAAAGCCAATAAGTTGAATTATGAAGGAGGATGGGAAGAAGATAACTTACCCTATCGTGTTCTTTAGGTAACGAATAACTCGATGGAGAGCAACTAAATGAAGTTGACAAGGATCATATACAAATTGACTAAGAATATGAACAACATAGGAGATATCAAGCCTTGTCATTATGAGATACACTAAACTTCTAACCAGCTTACGATAATATACGAGGTCCGAAATTGCCTTCCCATCATCCTTCTTATACTTGACATTTATTTCCATGGGAATATGTATAATCTTATCATTTGTTAAGTGGGATTCATGGATGATATCGGTAGTGTACTTAGTTTGTTTCAGCCATATACCTTGAGAAGTTGATGTGGCCTCAATTCTCAAGAAATAAGTAAAAGAACCAAGATCCTTCATATGAAAAGAAGAGTGAAGTAGCTCTTTGAGGTTGAAAATACCTGCGATATCACTTTCAATTATAACGATATCTTAACATAAAGAAGCAAAATAATCGAGCCAATAGCCGTGTCTTGAATAAACATAGAATGATCATATGAACTTTGTCAAAATCCAGAACTACAAATAGTGGTCTGAAATTTTTCAAACCATACTCGAGGAGCTTGTTTTAAGCCATACAATGATTTTTTAAGGCGATAAACAAGACTTGGGTGTTCTAGTTTATACCCAAAATGTGGCTTCATGTAGATCGTTTCCTTAAGATTTCCATAGAGAAATGAATTTTTGACATCTAATTGATACAAATCCCAATGATTGATAGATGTCAAAGCTAAGATAATATGAATAGTAGTTATCTTTGCCACGGGAGCAAATGTTTCATCATAGTCAATTCCATATTCTTGTTTATACCCTTGAGCGACCAATCTAGCTTTACATCGATCTAGTGTATTATCATCCTTGAGTTTGATTGAATAAACCCATTTGCTTCCAATCAATTGACTAGTTTTTGGTGTTGGACAAACTTCCCAAGTTTGATTATCATGAAGAGCCTACAATTCTTCAACCATAGCCTTTTTCCAACACTTTTGTTCAATTGTTTGTTTATAGGATGATGGAATAGGAACCTCGCTATAAAGTAGTGAATAAAGATGATTTATGACCACATTATGTAGATAAGTAACCACACCTCTTTGGTGGAACAAATGTTCGATTAGACCAACGAATAGGTTGTGCAACTTGCAGCTTCAAGTACGAGTTGTAGTTCAAGTACTCGTTTCCCATTCAATTGTCCGGTTAGGTTTAGGAGATTGATTAAGAGCTTAGAACGACGAGTATATTGTTTTAGAGGAGATGCAATGGGGTTAGATGGGGAAATAGGTTGAGAATCAGTTATAGGGACCATATCGAAGTTATACTAAAGTCAACAATCGAAAGCAGTGATAGCATGATAGCCTCCATGTGCTCATTATTATGATCATGATGTATGAAACTAGATTTTAAAAATTGAGGCGGAATCCTTATTTCGGACGTTGGAGATGTTAATGTGGAAGAATAATAATATGAATTTTCAAAAAAAAATGGCATGTCTAGAGATACGACTTCTTTGTTTTTAAGGATCATAACGGACAAAACCTTTTTGATTATCTCGCATACCTAAGAAAGAAACACTTGGTCGCTTTGGGAGATAACTTATCATGCTCATGAAGTGGAAGAAGAACAAAACAAATACAACTAAACACACGAAGATGAGGATAATCTGGAGAGTGGAGATGCAAATACTCAAAGGAGGACTTGTTTCCTATATTGGAGCATGGTTGTCGATTAATTAGATAGACAACATTTTTTATAGCTTCAACCTAAAACCTTTTAGGGGTCGAGGACTCAATAAGTAATGCACGAGTTAGATCTAAGATATGTCTATTTTTTCACTCAACAAGCCCATTTTGTTCGGGAGTGTAAGGGCGGGAATGTTGATGAATAGTTCCTTTTATCGAAAAGAAGTTTAGCAGGCTAGACTCACCATACTCCCCCTAAATCTAATTGAAAAAGTTTAATGTGAATGTTGAATTGATTTTTTACCATTTTCATAAAGGTTTTGGTAATATAAGAAGCTTCGACTTAGCTCGCATAAAATAGACCCAAGTGTATCATGTAAAATGATTAATAAAGAGAATAAAGTATTTGTATCTAGACGAGACACTTCGAGAGATGGACCCCAAACATCACTATGGATTAGCTTAAAAGGTTATACATAAACAGGACAACTAGTTGGGAAAGAGATTTTGTGAAACTTGGACAATGCACAACTCTAACAACTTATTTGAATAGTTAAATCAATGGGTTTGCTAGATGGAAATATAGATCGTAACATTAATCTCAACCTATTAGGATATGGATGGCCAAGACAACGATGCCATAAGTCCCCCAATATAGATTTATTAGAAGTAGAAAAAGCAAACAAACTACAAAGAGTCTTCTATGCTTACGCCCTTCCTTATTATTTTCCTAATCTGTCGATCCTAAATCCAACAACCATCATGAGAAAAATGAAGTAAGTAGTTTTGTTCAAATAATTGACCAACGTAAATAAGATTGGTAGTTAATTTGGGAACATAAAGCACATTGGACATAAGAAAGGAATTTTTAGGACATATAATAGTCCTTTTACCATAAACCTCTAGGTTTTCTCCATTAGCGAGTAGTAATAGGGACATAAGAGTGATCAGAGTTGGATAAAATGAAATTGTTGATGTGAACTAGTCATGTGGTTTGAAGCATCGGAATCAATAAATCATTTAGACAATGTTTGTTTTATACCTAAGATACCTACAGCAGTAAGAGCATTTGAAAGAGCACTCGAAATAATAGAGGCAATGGATTTTTGGATCGACTTTTGAACATATTCAGCAGTAAGAGTTTTTTCATCATTAGAATGAAGAGATATTGTGGTAGTATCCGTAGTGAAATAAGCTTTAGGCCCTTGTCTTCAACTTTGTAATAGGTTGCAATCGAAATTACATAGCCTTTGTTCTTGCAGTAGTTATAGAAATTCCTTTTCTTACGATCCGAAACGACATGGCCATATTCTTTGCATCCATGACACCGAATTTGGTTGTGATATTTAAACTTTGGCTTTGGCTTATACTTTGAGGAAAACAAATCTTCTTCAAGGATGGTTGTTGAATGATCAAGTGTGGCTTTCGTGCGTAGATGAGTTTCTTCCCAAAACAAGTCGAAACAATTTCATCCAACCCTTAGTTAGATTGACGATTAATGATGCTCGGAACGAATAGACTCAAATTCGGTCACAATTTCATTAGAAATTGCATGACCCTAGCCTTCTTATGCTCCTTTAGGATATGTTCAAAAGTAGCTTTATTAGTAAAGGCAACAATGACCGGATCTTATTTAGATATAAAGCCATAAAGCTCGAATAATAGATCTAAACATCTTTATCTCTTTGAATATATTGAGAAATAACGTATTCCAATTGAAATTCTCTTATGTGATTTGATTGTGAGTATACTTTCTTTAGGTGACTTCACATCTCTAAAGCTTTCCCAAAAACATGTAAACTCAAAGCAATTTCTTGACTCATGGAATTGAGAATCCAAGAGATAAGTCGAGCATTTCTCGTCTTTCATTTGATTTTTCTTGAGCATCGGTTGGTTCAAGTATATTACCATCAAGAACTCCAAAGAGGTCTTTCCTTTCAACAAACACACGAAACCGAAATTCCCATAAAGGATAGTTCTTTCTATCAAACTTGATAGAGATACGGTTTGAATGCTCCATGATTAGATCAAGACTACACAAAACACAAGAATGAGAAATTTTCAATGCCAAAGAATCGAACTTAAAAAATAAAGTCCGAACGGAGGGTAAATAGAGATCAAAACTCAAGAAAGAAAATGGAATGGATCGAATACAAGCTCGATACCATGATAAAAACAAGAGAATATATTTTCTATTTCTTTTTTCTTCATTAGTTTAGGTCCGTCATATATACAAGTTTAGGAAGTTAACTAGTTATACAACATCAATGTTATTCTAACCGTTATAGCCGTTACAACCATTATAACATCAATGCTATTCTAACCGTTACGGTCGTTAGAACATCAATTGTACTCTAACCATTATAGTTGTTACAACCGTTACAACACCTTAACAACACCGACTAGTGCAACAAGGTGAGGTCGTGAGGCCTTAGTAGGTACGATAAGACATTCTCTTCTTCAAAGAGAAACTTTATCTCGCCTCATGATTCATCCCTCATTCCAACTATAATTAAGGAGGTTCATGATAGCAACCATAAGGGGTATCACAAGACTTGACAAAGACTTAAGGGAACTTTTTTTTCTATAAGAAAATGAATGAGGGACTTTGTCAATTCATACAAGAGTGTGATATTTGTTAACACCACAAAGCCGATATGCAAAAGCTTACAAGTTTGCTATAAACTTTATCGATGCCTTCTCAAGTTTGGGCCGACATTTCAATGGACTTTATTTATAGCCTTCCACTCTCTAAAGGTAAAAATGTCTTTTTTATGGTAATTTGCAAGCTCTCTAACTACTCCCACTTTATTCATATTTCTCACCCATATACTACTACTAGTATTGCTCAAGTATTCTTTGAAAACATTTTTAAACTCCATGGTAAGCCTCTCGTCAATTATATGTGATCACGATCCTACTTTCACATGTGTGTTTTGGAAAGAAATCTTTAACCTACAGGGAACTTGCTTCAATTTTAGTTCGTTTGCCTCCCACAAAAAAATAGTCAAATTGAGGTGGTAAACCGGACTATTGAGATGTACCTCTATTACTTCACCGAGTGCTAAACCAAAAGAGTGGACCAAATGGATTGTTTGAGCCGAATATTACTACAATACAAGCTTTCACTCCACCACTCAACTCACTCCTTTTAAGGTAATCTATGGTTGTCCTCCTTTAACACTCCTCCTTATGTCCCAAACACGACCAAAGTATAAGTTGTGGATGATTCTTTGATTCACGAGAGATATGGTTCTCAGAAGCTTTTCTCTTGTCTTTTAGTAACACGGAATAGGATACGAGTAAGTTTCTAATCAACACCATATAGACAAAGACTTTTGGGTGGGTGATTGGGTCTATTTGAAGTTGCGGCCATATACACGGACTTTCATTATCGCACACTACTCTTAAAAGCTTACAACTCGCTTCTATGGGCCTTTTAAGGTGGTACTAGAATCGGATTGGTAACCTATAAACTGGAACAACCGAGCTTCCAATAGAGTCCATTAGAGGTGAGCAAACGGTTCGGTTAACTAAAAGCCGAATAAAACCGAACCGTATTAAGGTATTTGGTTTGGTTTTGAATTTAAAATTTACTATTTATAATCGAACCGAAAAATCAAAATTTATTTCGATTCGATTTGGTTTTTTTAAAAAAATTTTGGTTCAAACCAAAAACCAAAATTTATTCCTAAATTTCTATTTCTAATTTCGGTGATTTCTCTTCTCATTTCCAATTCCAAATACCAAAATACCAAATCGAAAAATCCCTAACCCTAAGTCCCTAACTCCCTAAGCGTCGCTACCTCGCTATCGCTACCTAGTCGGGTCCGGTTGTCCGAGCGTCCTCTCTCACTCTCGTAATCCTCACTCGAGAGTTGACTCGGTCTCGCTTCATTCCCTTCTCTAGTTCTCCTCTTGTCCTACACTCTTAAAGTCTCAATCTCCACTCCACTCCTACGGTGGCGAGTCCAGCCTAGTCCTCCGAGTCTCCGACCTCCAAGCTTCAAGTTCCAATTTGCTCACCCATCATCGATCTCACGAGTCATACCTCACGAGTCACGATCACGGTCATCCACTCATCCTTATCATAGTCAAGGTGTATAATCTTTTTTTAACAAACAAATAGCAAAAGTTCAAATATGTTCGATTCTTTTATCTCTATTTTTAATGCAGTTGCAATAAATTCTTGGATATGCTTTATGCCCAGTTTATGGGAGAATCAAACATAGGGTTAGCTTAGAAGTTGTGTTCTTCAATTGATTGTTTGGTTTATGCATTTGGAGTGTTCAAATGTTTTGATTAGTCTTGTTATGAATGTTGTCTTGATTTTGTTGGATATTTCGGTATTGGAGATTAGAGGTAATTATGGATTTATGTCAATATTTGGTGTTAATTTTAACATCTAGGTACTTACGGTTGCTTGTAAAATTAACTTTTCTTTACGATTGTGCTCGTGAGCATGTCTTCATTTTGTTAGAAATTTGAAATTGTTTAAGTTTTGCAAAGCGTGGAATCTGTCTTGGTGCCTACTGGCGCATCGCCTTGGTGCCTCCTGCCTAGCTAGTTTTTTTTTTTCTCTTAAGCTTAAGGACTAAGGAGTGTGAACTGTGAAGCTTAATACTTTTTTTCCTATGTTTTTATGTAGATTTCGTAATTTCAATCCGTAGAGATGAATTATGAAACCGTGGATTCAAGCAATCCTAATCCACAATTAAGTGCAACTCCAAGTAACACTTAAGATGGTGGAAAAAGAAAGAAGAGGAAATCAATGAAGCCAAAATTGATGGTGTGGGATCATTTCACAAAGTTTGAAGATGACAAGAAAAACATGAAAGCTAAATGTAACTATTATGATAAGGTATTTGCTTGTGATCCTTAAAAAAATGAGACAACTTCACTTAGGCCTCATGTTTTGACTTATAAAAAAACCCTTTTAGTTGTATTGACTCTACCCAAACTCAATTAGACCTAAGAAAGCTTGAAGTGGGAGAAAACAATCTTACCACATGGAAGTTTGATCAAAATATTAGTAGAAAAGATTTAGCTGAAATGATCATTCTAAATGAGCTTCCATTTAAGCATATAAAGGGTAGGGGATTCAAAAAGTTTTTACCTAATTTGTAACCTAGATTCAAGCTTCCATCTCGTTTTATAATTTTTAAGAGATTGCTATGAAATTTATTTAAATGAGAAAATAAAGTTGAAGCAATTTTTAAAACAAAATAGTCAAAGAATTAGCCTTACTACGGACACATAGACATCTATTCAAAGAATCAATTACATGTGTTTAACGGCTCATTTTATTGATAATGATTGGAAGTTGTATAAAAAGATCTTGAATTTTTATCCGATTGATAGTCATAAGGGAGTAGATTTAGGTATTGCCATTGAGAAATGTTTGATTGATTGGGGAATTAAGAAGCTTTTTAGTGTTACGATTGATAATACGAGTTCGAATGATGTGAAAATTAGGCACTTAAACGATGTGATTAAGAATTAGGGTTATAGCATATTAGATGGTGAATTCATTCATATGAGGTGTATGGCACATACTTTGAATCTAGTTGTTATTGATGGGTTAAAACATTTTAATCCTTCAATCGTTCATATTCGATCGACCGTTAGGTTTGTGAGGCAATCTCCGGCTAGGTTGAAAGGATTTAAGGAATGCATTCAACTTGAGAAAATTGATTCTAGGAGTTTGTTACAACTAGATGTTACTACTAGGTGGAATTCAACATACTTGATGTTAGAGTCGGCTCTAAAGTTTAAGAGAGCTTTTAAGAGATATGAGCAAATTGATCCTTTATATAGGAGTGAATTTGATGTAGATCATGGTGATAATGTTGTTGGGCCACCTAATGTTGATAATTGGAAGTCTTGTAAGAAGTTGGTAGGCATGTTGAAAATTTTTTACAATCTCACGTATTTCGAGTTCTTTGTATGTGACTTCAAATATTTATTTTGAAGAGATTTATGCTCTCGAACATGTTTTGAAAAAATGGCAACGAAGTGCGGATTTAGATGATTTTACGTTGGCCAATAAAATGAAAGAAAAGTTTGAGAAGTATTGGAGGGATATTAAGAAAATGAATAAGTTGATTTATATTGCGACAATACTTGATCCTAGGCATAAACTTGTATTTATTGAATTTTCAATCAATGAATTGTATGGTAATTTGGAGGGTCAAAGAATGTCAAATATTGTCAAGGAATCTATGTATGCTATGTATGATTTCTATTATCATTTGTCAACATCTCAAGGTGAAATTAGCCAAGGTAGTGGGAGTGGAAAATAGATGTGGGTTGTGCAAATGAAGAAATGATTGATGAAGAAGAAATTAGAATAAAAAGGGAGATAATGATGCGTTTTGAAAAATACAAGTGTGATATTGGAGGTGGAGGAAATAAAACGGAGTTGGATAAATATCTTAGTGAAGGTGCTGAAAATAACGGTGCTGATTTTAATATTTTAGAATGGTGGAAAACCAATTCTCCTCGGTTTTCCATCCTTTCACAAATGGCTAGGGATATATTGGCGATTCATGTTTCTACTATTTCCTTATAATCGATATTTAGCACTTGGAGGAAGCGTTCTTGACTACTTTAGGAGTTCTTTGACTCCTAGCTTAGTGGAATCTCTTATATGTGCTCAAGATTGGATTAAAAATTCATCGACACCAATTATTATTGAAGAAAATTTGCAAAATATTGAGAAAATACAGGATGGTAATTTTTATAACTCTTACCTTTTCATTTGTTATTTCTTTCCTTTATATTAATATTAAAAGTTTAATTTTTTTATCTTATAATTTTCAAAGTTATCACTTGTCACTACCTCTATTACAAATGGTTGAATCTTGATGGGTTAATGACTTGATGGTGTTTTGACGTGATAAATGGTATGTGTAAGTTACTAAGTTTCTACTTTCTAAGTTTGATTTTTTATTTCGTTGTTTGTGCAAGTTTAGTCGGTAAGTGAGAATTGTAAATTTTCATTTTCATTGAACTAGAAAAGAGAACCATAGTAGGTAGTAGCTTATTGCCTCGGTGCCTCGTGCCCACTAGCGAGTAGAGCCTGTCGGCCATAGGCCTACAAAAGTGGGCGGTAGGCCTACTCACGTGGGCAATAAACTTACTCGCCTTGGTGTCTCCCCGCCTACGGTAGTAGGCGATAGGCGATGAGCCTACCGCCTTTGATTTTCGTAGCATGTTAATATCTTATTTCGGGAGCATTGAGTGTTTGTTGGGATTTCATTCTATTGCGGATCCTGAAGGAGTGAAAGTATTGCAAATGCACGGAAATCATTTGTTTTATGATAGGAAGAGAGCTTGTGTCTCATCCTCTTTGTTGAGAAATGAGAACGGACATTCTACCATACTTTTGTTGTTTAATATCAATTGTATTGTATATGGATCTTTGTTTCATCAATAATTATTTTGCATGACTTATTTTTTTTTCGATATATGAATGTTAAACATGTTGGGTGTTTAAATTTGACTTTAATTATGATTTTTTTTTTTTGGTGTTGAATTTTTTTCCAAAAAGAAAGTGGTTACTTGTTAGCTCGAGCATTGCTAATTACTCAGCTTAGGCAAAGAAAAAATAAATCGAAGTTTTGGGAGAACTGTCTAAAGTCCGAAATGGAGAAGTAATGAAAAAGTTCGGTTAAACCGAATTATTTCAAAATCGAACCGAAATAATTTGGTTACAAACTGAATTAATTTTGGTTCGGTTTTGGTTTTTATTTTTCCTACTTTGGTTAATCGAAAACCAAACTGAATTATACTTAACCGAACCGTTTAACCGAATACCGACCCCTAGAGTCCATCCGAGTTTTTCATGTATCGGTATTGAAGAAAAAATTTAGGTAACTTGGACCAAGCGTCTATGCAACTAACTAGACTTTTGTACGAATGTTTCTGCACCCAAAAAGACTCCAGCAGCAATCCTTGGGGTGCGAGGTCGAGGCTAAGATCGGGAATTGCTTGTCCAGTGGGTCGACAATGATATTTCAACAGCTGTATGGGTCAATCGAGTTTCTTTCCAATAGGATTTCCCTAATTTTCCTCCCCCTTGTGATCAAGGAATGTCTTAAGAGGGGCAAAGCTGTTACGATCCAGGCCTACCACTACATGCTTTTAAAGACCAAGTCTCTAATAATAGTATTTGTTTCTTACAAAATCTCCGCTTCTAGTTAATATTTCCCTTCAAAATAGTTCTTTTCTATTTCAATGTTTGCTTTCTTGAAAATATTTCTTTCTGAGTTGTTATTTCCTTCAAAAAGATCAATCAAATAACTAATAAATTATTAGAATTTGATCTTCCTGCTGCTTTACTAATTACCGTTCAAAGCTGCTCTATATAAAGGAGCTTTTGAATTCAATAAAGGGGATATATATAAAACTTTTCAGTCAAAGTATTTCTTTGTTTTTACATACTGCTCTCGTTGTCTTTACAGCTTTCTCAAGATAGCTTGTGGTAGGAATATAACGCACGATCGTGGCGTAGACCTTGAGGAGATCCAAGTACGCAATTTATTAATAGTGAAACTCATGAAATGCAATTTCTAAGATATTATTAACCATAAGCATATTAGACACATATTTGACAAATTTTCATTGATGAAACAGCTTCCACAGGACAGTTTAAAGGAATACATAGGAATACACTATTCTATAGATTGTGGAAAATAATATCATGTATATCTACGCCGGTTCAGTAGCGCCCTGAATATATTATTGTGTACAGGATTTTACAACTAATAACATACCAAGTGAACTTAAAGAGACCAGAACTTTCCTAGACGAAGCGGCTAAGCCTTGACATGAACTCTATAGATTTGTCACCCACATGGCAGGCTTTCATCTACAAATAGCATAAGAGTGTGATACAAAAGTGGAATCTCTTAATTACATGATGAAGCTTTCAAGAAGATTATCGGCAAAATACTATGATGGACCTTCAATGAAGTCTCATTAATCTGATAATTACACAACAGTGGGCAGGCATTGCCTCCTTGTTATTCTTTAGCAATGCATTTGCATTTTCTTTGCTGTTCCGTGAGTTCCTGCCATGTTTCAGTCAGTCAGAAACTAATAATTCCCTGATTTTGCATTTCAATCTGTAGCACTATCTCTTCATAAAAGTGAGGGACCAAACGGCAGAGAACAGTTGGAATCTGTCAGTTACTAGGAGCTCATGAGAAGTAAAGACTGCAAAATTTTGCTTCTTTGCCAATGACTTAAAAACCAAATGTAGTTCATAATAAGAACAGTGTAGGGAGTACCTGAATCTGCCTTTGAAGAAACTTAACATACTCTACTGCCTCCTCTAACATATCTGCAGTGTTCGTTTGCTGCAACAATCAACCATGAAAAATGCCAAATCAAATAATAGGAAACTAATGTTAAACAAAACAGTTGCAATATACATTCAATCTGATTCATGTCGAAATATAAATAGAATTTCAACCAGGGATTTTACATCAAAGACCCACTGATCCATTACCAACATGTCAGTTATCCATGACAGAAAAAAAAATTGGGTTGTCTAAGCAAAGAAGAGGGATTTGTTACAGCTAACTGATGGTATTATACTGAAAACACTTAGACTCAAATTTTGATTTTATTCTCTTTCTACATTTGAAGCACCGAGACCCATAAAGCTAACGGAACATAATTCTCACCCCCACTATCACAACTCGTGCAATTGGGAGGTCTTTTGAAAAGCAGGAAATTCCACTCCTGTTTCACAAATATTAAGTTTAAGAAGCTGGGGCGGAAAAAAGAGGCGCATACCAAAAAGGTAGGAACTAAATAGGAGAGAGGACCTGAAGTGAGAAACCAACAAGTACATGACATCCAGATCATCGGAAAATCCACGTACAAGCAAAGCAAGAAATCAACAGAAAAGACCCTAAGATTTTGGACCAAGTTCCAATAAATCAAACTTCTGCCCCATCCAGCATTCTATATATATACCCTCTCTTCTGTCACAACCTCCATTAACCAAGGTGGCACTTCCTCTATGCACCACGGCTTTATTTCCTCTTGTTCAGAAAACGTATGAATCAGGTACTTTATGTCATTTTATGTATCTTATAGCATACAAAAAATTAATAATAATAAATAAATAAAATTTAGCCTTAAGATAGTTTGCAATTTGATCTGTCTCCTGTTAAAACTTAACAAATCAAACCCAATAAACAACTCCAATAAGAATTTTGAGCAATGAACATTCTGTTTCACTATAGTACCTTCATATGGACCTTTAGCTGTAGCAAATAAAAAAGCTTGTTCTCAGGGTTTCAAAATACTAATAATAATTCAAACTAGCAATTTAGTCTGCTCATGGTATTACATTAAAGTGCCTCCATGTATGGCCTTTTCAGAAGATCATCTAAGAATGCATCTTCTCAGGGTTTTGAAATACTACAAACACCCAACCATGTATCATAAACATGACAAAATGCCATTTCACCAAAATAACCAAGGAACAAAATGACATTAGGCAAGACTAGGCTCTTAAGCAGCTATTATATGTAATGAATGATACCACTATTTGCATTCATGTCGATAATGAAACGATATAGGCTTGGCCAATATTGATGGAGATAAAAACGAACCAATGATCCCACATCCAAACCATCCACTTGAGATTAGGCTGGCATCAGGCTCCTCATTAAAGGGGCTTATTTGGCAGTTGGGATCAACTAAGATCAATAGTTCAGCTTTTAAGGCGAGGTATTCCCTTCATGATTTGCCAGGGGAGCCAAATTTGGATTCCAAAGTCATGTGACTTGACACTTATGAACTCGTTTTTCTTTCCAACACAGTCAGGTACAAATCCATGAGAACATTTCTGAGTCGTGATGGATGAATTGTAGGTTGAATCCTAGACAGGCAGCCCTAACAAAAAGTTGTTTGCTCTCAACAATGCTAGGATTCAAATCTCAGACAAGTGCCTACCGCACAACTTTAGATCACCCCATTACAATGGAGCCAATTTCACAGATTAACATCCATCCATCCATTTTTTGAGAAGTATCTTCGCAGTTGCTTTTGGCTACCCGTTTTGAGAATCGAGCATACCTCATATCAAGAGAATGATAGCATTAGCTCTCTAAGGAGCTTCCTCAAACAAAGGGCTTGCAGATGCCCCTTTCCAGCCTTTTCATATCCATCAACCTTAACCAAACCTGGTAATGAACATCTTGTGAGAATTGTTCAAGTCCCTTGCTTTCACCAACTCACTAATAATTTGGTGCCTCAAAACCAAATTTCTCCCTGACATTTGATTGAGCATAATCTTTGCATCATCCGAATCCCAAACACATACAAAACAACCATCATGTACCAAGAAACCTCATTCCTATGGAGCATTATATCTACATCACTCTTGCAAGCAATATGCTTTTGCATTCACCCTAGAAGCAATTGCAACATGTCTTGCAGGGACTTGATTTGCGTCACAACTGTCATCTTATTGCGATAGAATTGATGATAAACTATTTCAGTGATTCTATTGGAGAAAAAAATCTATATAATAGTTTCCAAATTTATAAGTTGTCCTTAAAGAGTCATAAATTCATTTAATGAAACTTCCTATAGTCCTATTGATGGAGTAGCTATGTTATACTTAAAGAAACACTCTCCACTTTAGAAACCTGAAGCTACAGTAAGTGATTCTTCATCAAGCAAGTCTTTTTGGTCAAAAAATGAATGTCCTCAGTAGATTTCTTTGTTTGGGGTTTACAGCTTTGAGTTATTGGTTATTTTGTAAGCAGGGGCAAATCATGCGTATTTTAGTAATTTCAAGAATCACTTGAAGGTCTGGGCTTATTTAGGAATTTAGCTTAGTCTTTAATAGTCTATTCCTGTTTAGTTTATTTCCTAGTTAAGTAAGGAAGAGTTATCCTAGTCCTTTATGGAGTCTTAATCTCTATAAATAGAGATGCTATGTTTTAATTTCCAGCAGAGTTGAATTATGCAGTAAATTGAGTTTTAGAATTATTTGAAGGCTTAGTGCCAAGTTTTCTTCTTTGTTCTCTTGTTCTTCTATTATCTCTTCTTTCTTATTTTCTTATTTGTGTGCGACAGTGCCGCGAGTTACTGTTCACAGCCCAATTTCTCCTAATTTCTTCCTAAACAAACTCTATTCTACCCTAATTTCACAAACAATAAACCCTAGCTCCCCTCGAATCCTTTGTAGAACAGAGACCTCAATTCTGTCCTACATCACCTATTTTACATAGAAATAAAAGATGACTAATTTTTGTAATGATATTATTTTCCAAGCCGAAATCTATGATTACAAAGAAAATCTCATCCCGACAAAATTTAAATTTTCAATAGAAGCTCATAAAGGAGTTACCTTATCCATATTTGGAACAAGTTCCTGAAGTTTCCTTATCCGATCACTAATTCGAGTTCTCCGAACCTAAGTCAACCAAAAAAAAAAAGGTTAATTTAGGACTAACAACAAACACTTTCGCCTTTCTATCTATAGAATGCATCAGATAGCAAGTAAATTGATTCATCTTACTCTCTCTGCAATGCTCCGAGGATGTGTAGCACAGCCACGCTTTGCACGGACCCTGCAAGGCACTGAATCCTCCAAAAGCTTATCCATCTCCATTTCTATCAAACTAGAAGCCCTTAGAGGTCCAGTTTGCTCTCCTTTCTACCAAAAAAAAAAAAAAAAAAAAAAAAAAACTAAAATAACTCCTGATTGCACACAACAAAATCGGAACTTATACAGCAAAAATTAGCTCCAATTTCAGTTACCATAGTAAAAAATTTTTTCTCTATTTTCAGGAAATAAGTGACCTATTAAAAAGCCCCACCACAAATCAATAAGAACCTACATACTTCCACAAAAGATAAAAGACTACCAAAACACACTTAATCGATTACCAACATAAGTTACAAATTGGTGTGAACATACCAACGTAGGTGGATATCTAACAGAAGGGTTCTGCAACTCAACCTCTCGAGCCCTTTTACCAGAAGGCGAAACCTCCATATTTGGTGGCATATACTCATAATTTGAAGCAATTCCATAGCTCGGAAAATACCCTTGATCACTTCCAATCCCAGAATTCCCAATAAAATCAGCTGGAGAGCTATTTTGCCTTTGAAAACCACCACCCGGTTCAAACAAGCCCGGTTCCACAGAAGCACTAGAAGCATTAAAAGGCACTGAATTTCTACTTGAAGGTGTGCTTGAAGTAAGTAACTGAGTCAAGTTCTGATTTTGCTTTAATGGGTCCTCTTCTTCTTCTTCAAGAAGGGCTTCTAACCATGAGGCTGGTGCTGAACGAAACCTAGCAAGTCCACCACCACCGCCACCTCCGCCACCGCCAACTCCACCTCCACCTCCACCTCTACCTCCACCTCCACCTCCAGTAGTGTTGCTGCTTCCGGCAGGTGTTGGTTGCATCTGTCTTCTCCTCACCGGTTTTAGAAGTTCGGTGTTTTTTTATTTTTATTTTTTTCCTTTTTTTTCGGGTTTTGATAGAGAGAGTGAAAAAAATTCTTTTATTTTCTTAGCACTTCACTTTGGTGGTAATAAAACTAGATTTCGTAAGATAGTTCTTGTCTGTTTTTTATGTATTAACTCTATACATCGCAAGTATAGATGTATCTATATGTGCTTCCCATTTCTGTCGATAGATGATAATAATATTTCATCAGGATGAGTTGAAGGGTGATTAAGCAGGGATGGATAGCATAGAGAGGGTTGGCCTTTTCAAGGTTTAAAGAGCGGCAACGTCATCGTTTTTTAGATTTGATTACTGTGCTTCTTCACTGTCAAAAACTAAATGCCAGATGCAAACTTAGCGCGTGACGTACACTGTCTACGGAGAAGAATTTAAGTGGGATTAGTATTGGAGGGGATTGAGGAGCGTGGGGCTTAGAGAGTGGAAGAAATGATCACGTGAAACTTGTTACTTTTGATGATTGTTGTTGATTTTAATTTTATTTTTATTTTTTTCTATGAAAATGTGTTTGCTTTTTCTGGCAAATTTAAGGAGAGGTTGACCACTAATGCACCCATCTGCATAAGCACACAACGCACATAAGAAAAGGATGTGGCCATCTTTTCTTTCAATTTTTGGACCCCTTTTCTTTTCAAATGGTGGGGACCTTTTTTTTTTTTTCATAATGATATAAAGGATGTATTTCATATATCGCTCTGCTATATTTAAAAAATATATATTATTTTTAATATTAACAACTTAAGCTTAATCGTAATACAAAAATATGGGTAAGAGCTTGACAGTATTTTTGTACAAGAGAGCTGAAGTTCAAGTTTCACTTTTATAATTTAATAAAATTGGAAGAAACTCGTTAAAAAAAATACAAAACGTAAGGAAAAAAAAGGACATAAGCATTAATTTCAAGAGGCATTTGCCATTTGAAAAGTTATCTCTATTACATTGAATAGACATTTTTTATGTTAAATAATATATTTTATATAAAAACGATCATGTCTATATAAAATGATACGAATATAAAAAATTATTTATAATTGAACTCATATATCTATTACAATTTACATTGAATAGACACGACGATTGGTATGTAATTTATCATATTTCATACACAGTTTGGACTTCTAAAAATTCTACAAACACAACAATAACAATTTTCTTGCATCTTAGTCTAATGGTTGCATTTTCTTCTCCTTTTTATCTACAAAACAAGATCTATTTTGTGAAGTTCTAGGAATAGTTTTGGGTTTTCCAATTCATTATTTCTCAAAACAATTTGTTTTATTTTAAGATAACAATGTATAATAAGTTGTGGTGGGGTTTTGACAAACTCTTTTTCATTGGAAATAAGTTTAAAAGACGTATTTTGGTGGACAAAATTGAGAGTGGAAAATAAACTCATATTAATTAGTTTTGTTTTAACTAAGAGTTAGATACACCTTGTGACCTTGTATTTTTCTAAAAAATTCATTGATGGAAGTCATGTTCAATAAAACTATGGTGGCATGATATCAAGGGTGCAAAATAATCAATTGTATGTTAAGGGAGTTCCAATCACATGAGCTAAAGTCAAAAAGCTAAATGAGGCTCTTAATGGATTTGTGCAAGCGAATCATGTCAAGTGTGCAAATAAGTCCGTGTTTGGCATTGATGAAGGGCTTAGCATGTGTTTCCAAGAAGAGGAGGCTCTAAGCATTATCAATATGATCCAAGCTACAAATTAGGTTAATTAGGCCTAATAGTTAGGTTTATTTCTATATTTTGATGCTTTTATTTGAACTCCAAAAAAATAGGAGAATGTGTTTTTTATGTGAGGCTAAATTTGATATTTAGGCATTGTTTAGGCGTGTTTTTATTTTTGAATGATCGTACCTTTTATGGAGGTGCGGAATAAAATAAAAAAAACTTTCTCCATATAAGCTCCTAAGATAAAACCGTTGAATCAACTAATCATACATATATGAATAAATAATTAAGGCAAGTGTTTACCTCTTATAGCATGTAACCTATCTATGTGAAAAGATGTTATCCAAGAGTCCAGTCTCTATTGATAATCTAGGAAGCTCAAACACCTACAAGAGAAGTTACAAAGATCACAAAATGCTAGCTTCAATCCTTCGTATAGTTATTTGTTCTCTTAATAAATCAATCGGGATTTTTTACTACAACTCTAGAGAGAGGTATGCATAGCAATTCGAGCTTTTTGGGAGAAAACGTTTGTCTCCCTTTTCTTTTCTTATTGTCATATTTCCGTTTGTGTTAACCTATTCTTGCCGCCTCTCTCTCTCTCTCTCTCTCTCTCTCTCTCTCTCTCTGTATTTATATAAGGGGGTGGTATCCTTGTCCTTAGAGGATAAGGAGTTGTAACATGTGTGGACTTGTTTGATCTTATCCTTGTAAACCCCGAGTTTTATCCAAGTAATGCTTAAGTTTATCCTTCCACCAAAATATCTTGCAAGCTTTTAAATTAAGTCTACTCGGCCCAAACTCTTTTGACCCAATTAAATATCAACTAATTTAGATCACCCAAATAAATTAGGCTAGATATTTTTAAAGAAGACCACATTATAAAACAATTTTCAAATTACCATTAAACCTAACTTGAGAAACTAACTTTTTTTTTTAGATAAAAAACTTCTAAATTTGGAACCGACTTTAAAATTAGGAAACTAATTTCTAAAATAGAAAATTTTTTATTTTAGAAAACCTTTTCCAAAATAGAAAACTTCTCATTTTCGAAAACCTTTTCCTAAATAGAAAATTTTTCAAACTAGAAACCTTTTTTTCTAAAATCTTTGCTTCTCTTTTATTATGTGAATATTTAAACTTACACGTGTGACTCAATAGGCTCCTAATATATTGGCAATGTATTAAAAATAAAAGACGGTTATTTTATCTCTACATACATAAATCAAGATTGATCTCTAACAATGCATCATGACTACCCAATTTTCTAAGATAACTAATTAATTTGCAATTACCTTTTAGGACTATGTTTACCATACAATTCGATCCTTATATCAATTTATCATTGTGTGATCTCGAACTTAGTTTAAAACCTATTCAATTATGATGACACAAGTTTTCTTTGATTTCCAAATGTCTTAGCTCTAGAGTAAACCAATTATGCTTCATTAGTATATTCCTATTGTGACCACGGATTTCTTAAACGGACATTTATCGAAGTACAATGTGATAACTCATTTAGCATATAAGGAATGACATGTCCTATCTTAGGCATCCACCTATATCTATTAGATTGCTAGTGCACCCAACGAATCGCCCGCATGTAGCTCTTAACTAAACCCATCAAAATAACTATTAAAATACATAAATCTTCTAATGAGACAATCATAATGACTTCAAGTCAAAAGATCAGTTGTACTCATCTCATATAAGATTTTCATAGACTAAACCAAATGAGTTTTCATAGTGAGTCACGTCCAAATATATGTTCGTTAACATTTATCATCTAAGTGCTTGTTTTGACATCACCATACCAATAGGTATGAGATCTACTGCTATCTTATAGCATGGCACTCATAGGTCTTACTACATATAGTCAATGTTCATTCTTAATAATGCTACGACTTGAGATATTTAATAATATCATTTAAGTGCATTAATATTTATCTCGCATTAATTAATTAATCATTAATGCATTGATCAATCATTAATGCAATGCATATCATATGAACTTTTGTCTAATTCCATCAAATTATAAATAACAAGAATTAATAAAAAGATTCTTTTGTTAATAAATAAAAATGTAATATTACAATAAATAAAACCATCCAAACAAGGTTAGATTTTGGATACCTACACTAACAATCTCTCACTTACACTAGAGTCAATCGATCACGTCCCTTATGCCCGACGATCGAACAAAGGTCTTATTTTTCTACTATGACAAAGGCTTAGTTAAGAGGTCGATTGTGTTATCGTCGGTGTGAACCGTTTTTATTCTTATACCACCATGATTGATAATCTCTTTAATTAAGTAGTAACATTGTAGTACATGCTTAGATTGTTGATAAGAACTCGATCCCTTAGCTTGGGCTATGGATCCTTTGTAGTCGGCCATCAAGCCATGTGATATTAAAAGAAATCATTTCTTTGATTTTTCCATACTAAATCTTTTATCGTCATATTAATGTATCCGCCAGAGAGAGCCCTCACATTTTAAGTAATCTATCTCTATAGATCTCTACTTTTAGAATGTAGGCTACTCTTCCGTATCATACATGAAGAAATTCTTAAGTGCCCAATCATTTATAAATTCAACGTGATAATGATATAATCAAGAAGTATTTTGTTATCTTCACATAAAACAACAAAACTACCAAGTTCCCACTAACCCTTTGTATACACAAGGTTCATCTTTTTTTTTATGAAAAAGTTAAACCCTTTGATTATTTCATCAAAACATTGATTCTCATTTCTAAATGCATGCTTAAGTCCATAAATGGACCTTTACAATTTATAAATTATTTATATGTTATTTGGTGACAGAACTATTAGGGCATGTCATCTACACATCCTTATTCAATTTTCATAAAGAAAAATAGTTTTGTCATCCATTTACCGAATCTAAGAGTAAATGTCTAATATTGTTTTTTTCATATATATTAGCTTTGTCATACCGAATAGAATATACATCATCATATGTTGAGACATGAATATCATTTTTTTTAATTTTTATGAACTCGTTTAGACCTATGAAGTTTTTATGTATCAATTTATGAGATAGTTATAATACTTTGTAACCTATCTACATGGGATTCCACTAGTGGAGTGTCGATTTATAAGTCTACTTGAATCTCATTGAGTTCAACTTTCCTCCACTATTTCTAGCATCTATAAATTCCATCCCAAAGAATATAGCATGTCTAGTTATGAAAAAAAAATTTCTTCTATTAGTAGGAAAAATAATATCAATTTGTTT